AATTATGTCTTGGAATTCCATAGCTGGGCTGTAGGCAGGAGAACTAGGCTAACCAAATGATTTTTCCCTAAAATTATGTAGCATTGCTCCTGACAGATGCCCATCCCAATTTAAAGAGAATCCACAGACGCTGTTTGACTTCTGGTAGGGTTATGTCCCAGTAAACCCAACCAAGTTGAAAGCATCATAAATCAAAAATACATTTAATTCACCTAACCTACAGGACACCATAGCTTAGCCCCACTCATCTTAAGTGTGCTCAGAACATTATATTAGCCTATATTTGGGCAAAATCATCTAACTCAAAGGCTATTTTATTTCTTTAAAAAGAGACAAAAGAAAGAAAAAGTATTGAATATCTAGTGTAATTTTCTGAATTCCTGTACCCAAAACATGTGGCAACTCAGTACACTGCAGTGGATCTGTGGTGTCCCCTTGTGGTCACGTGGTTGATGGGGACCTGCAGCTGGCTGCTCTTACCTAGCATCACAAGAGAGGATTTTGTACCACCCAGGAAAAGATCAAATTTTGATGTTCAAAGCAGGGCTTCTATTGAATGGATTTTGCTTTAGTGCCAACATAGAGTCTAATGCACAGTTTGAACCACTGTAAATCAGAGACCATCTGTATAGATTTCCAGCCCTGCCCTAGACCTCCTGAGTCCAAATCTTTAGGGATAGGCCTCATCATGTGTGTTTCTTTAAAGTTTTTCAAGATTCTTGTGATTACTGTGGTCACTTTTTTGGGCATGTCATTCATATATTCAATGAATCATTCATTCACTCATTCTAATGCTATTCACATATTATGTAGGAGTGCATCACAATTAGATCATAAACTCTTTGTAGGATAGTGTTACTTTGTACATATCCTGTATCCCCCTTAGTACTCAGAAGTGTTAAGCAGGCATTTAGTAAATATTTACTAACTTACATTGAATAGTAATCCATCAATACTATAGCAAATGAAGCCAGATGCTAAATCTAGTCGTCTCTGATCCTCTGCCTATGATAACTAGAAACTCTGGCAGGTAGATCCTCAATTCCCAGCTCTCAACCAACTCCTTTGGTAGGTGGCACCATTGCATCCCCACAGTGCATGATATTGGGGAAAGAAATAGAGACCCTGGGCCCTTCCTGAGCCCCCAGGGCTACTGTCCTGGAGAGAACAAGATTCAGGAGATAGTAGTCCCACAAGCTGCTTCCTCTGTAAAATCTAGAACCCCTCAGGATAATGAAAATATAATTAGGTTCCCAGATGGGAGAGGACAGATTAGGCTCTTTGGTTCCATTCAAAATTCAGAACATCACTGATGTGCCAGGGTTGGTATTTAACCAACAGAAGTGCCTGTAAGGTCAGGCAGCTGCCCCCAGGGAACTGCACTTTTCCATTCTTTTGATGGTCTTGACAGTGAGCACCTCTGGGAGGAGCCCGTGAAGAGCTAGAGCTGCTGCCAGCACTGTGGCAACGGAATGGCCTGGAGCTCAGCACATCAGGTGGCAAGTGGCAGGTGACTGCTGTGATGAAAGGGTTATGGGTAGAGATGGGCATGGCTCTCAGGCTGAGATGACTCAGACACCAGCAAGAATTGATCGCACATGTTGCTCCAGGCTTTTAGACCTATGAATATTTAAATAAGCACATTAATATTGCATAAGAAATTGGGGCTTAAATAACCTTTATTTCTTATTGGAAAGTGAGCCTGGCTTTTGTTCAAAGCACTTGTGAATCCTGACTGGATAATAGGGAACTTTATTACCAGGAGACCAGACTGAATCCTGGCATGAAAATGTTTTTTACAATAATTTTGATTGATAGACTACCAGTCAAATGACCATCATCTGACCCAATCCATGTACTGGAGAAAACTGTTTATTTTATGGGACATCCTTTGGCATAAAAGTGGGGGGAAATAAAAATTATTTAATAAAATGAGGAGAAGACAGCCCTAGAGTACCAGGTTCCAAAATGGCGGTGGCCCCGCCATGTTCCAGAATGGTAGCAGCCTAGAGAATTCATTCCTCGGAATCGGGTTCAGAGTGCTCAGTGATCCAGGCACTCAACTCCTATAGCCAAGAGAGAGGGAATTCTGGCTACTGCTCCAGCTAGCAGCAAACCTTGTCATCATCCATGTGGGACTGGTTTAAGGTGCATGCAAAATGCAGGAGTTGTGGGGTCAGGAAAGCTTCCACATAGATTTCAGAAGGGCTGGGAGGCCAGGCAGTGTGCCCCTGAGAGGGCAGTATGTGAAAATGTGAGTTTGAAGCTAAAGGGGCAATGGAGACCCCAGAAGTTTGGAGAAGCTAGAAGCATGGATCATCTGAGGAAAACTGCAAAGAGGGAGAAGAGAAGCCAGAGAGAAGCCATGGGAGCTGCAGCCACCAGAAGTGCCTTAGGAGCCACCCAAGTTCTTTGAATTTCACAACTTGCCACAGATTGTCTGGGATACTGGAAGTGGAACTATGGAACTTAATGTTTGCCCCACTGGATTTTGGACTTGCCTTGGTCCCATTCCTTTATATCCCCCTATTTGAACCTTTTGGAATGGTAATGTCTATCTTGTGCCACTGAATGTTGGAAGTGTTTAACTTTCCTTTCATTTGTTCAGGGGCTTGCAGCTAAGAGTTTGCCTTAAATCTCAGAGGAGATTTGGGACTTGGACTTTTCAGCAATGCTGAAACTATTAGGACTTTGCTAACTCTTAGAGAAGGACTAAATGCTTTTTTGCATAAAGGGATATGCATGAGTCTTGGGGGGACCAGGAGTGGAATGTTATGGTTTGTGTTTAGCTGTCCCCGCAAGCTTCATGTGGATGAGGCAGGACTTCCTTTTTCAGAGGTAGTTGAATCTGGAATATGTGATGCTGGAATTAAGGGCCTGTGGTTACTAAACCGATACACAAGTGGGTGATTGGTTTGGCACTACTCTAATCCCAATAGTCCGAATAAAATAAAAGGGACAGGAAGATCCTGGTAAGGCCTGATGGTGCCTTTGTTACCTGTGCACACCATGTCATTTCCCCTCTGTGATGACTATTTGCCATCTCTGCCTTGGAACCAACCAATTATAGACTGAAAAGTCTACAAACTTCCTGGTCTATGGGAGTGATTCTGTTAGCCTCTAGTCTCTGTGGGATCCAGGTGACAACGCTTCCAGGCCCCACGGTATGGATCTAAGCAGATATTCAAATGGCTTACTAGAAAGAAAAAGCCAATGACAGAGGATGATTTTGAATGAGAGTCAAAAGTATATCCTTAATGAATGGTTTGAAAAGAACCCCTATCCTGGTATAGATACTAGAGACTATCTGGCCAAAGTAATCAGCACTTCAGAGTTTCAAATTCTGACTTGGTTTCAGAACCAGAGAGCAAGGTGCAAATGATGAGAGTATAAACATAACTTTGAGAAATCTCAAACCCAGGTACAAGACAAGCCTCAGTTCAAGCATGAAAAAGTGAGACAAATCAGGACAAACTTCACAAGATCTCAAATCAAAGCCCTAATTCAAGCCTATGACAAGAATCATTTCCCTGGAATTGCTACCAGGAAAGAACTGGCTAAACAAACAGGCATTCCAGATGAGAAAATTGTGATTTCCAGTTTAAAGTGCTGATCCTTGCAAATGTTGTGTGAAGACAGAGCCACTGGTGGGTAATAACATTGAGGACAGCAGTGACAGTGCCTTTCTAGTAGCAAAAGTGATCCTCGAAAAGTGGGAGTGAAGCAGGACTTGAAGGAAAATGAGTTTTTCCCAGCCTTGGGCAGTTCCCCTACCCCATCACCATTACCCTCCCTTTGCTATAACTCCTTACTCTGGTACAGATAAAATTGACAAGTATGTCTTTTAAACAAAGTTTATGTCATCTTGTACTCACAAGATTCACAAGGCTCTATCTTCTCTCAAGGCTAAATTATAAAACTGTCTGCCCTTGTCCTGTTTCTGTAAACTCACTTGCTATGTCACTAGAGAGACCAACCCCTCCAACCAAATGTATAAAAACTAAAACTTTTCTTTATTCAATGCTCTTCCTTTGGACATTAGTCTGTTGAGCCAGTGTTCACCTAAAACCTAATAAAATCCTCCTGTTTACCAGTAAAAAAAAAAATATATATTTAATAAAATGAAACTCCTTGTGTAGTCCTAAAAGTACAGCTACAACCAAAAGCAAAGGAAAAAAATCTGCTCAATTGATTTTCCAAATTGCTCAATTCACTCAGCTTTGTTCTATTGAACATAGTCAGACCTTAGGAGATGATACTGACTTCCTACTGTGTGCAAAATGCTGTCCTCCTGGCCTTGATTAAAAAGTGGAAACTCCAGGCCCTGGCCTCAGGGAGTTCACATGTAGGTGTATAATTGCATTACAAGGAACTCAGTACTATCTTGGAAATAAAATACCACCCACTTAAGAACACAGCAGAAGAAGAAGAAAATCAAGAACAAGAAAAGCTGTAAAGTTAAGGAAGGAAAGAAACTTAAACATATTCAAAGACTAGAGATGAACTTGTGATCTCAGGGTCGGGGAGGGAATAGCATAGGAATTTATTGCTCAATATGATATTGGGTAGATGAGTGATTGGATTTTCATCTACAGAATTACTTCTACCAAGAAGCTTAGACTAAAAGTATCCCACAGAAATCATTTCCTTACCCCAAATTCCCTAATTAACAGTGACTTTAAAACCTGGATAAAGTCTTTCAATTCTTTTGCTCATGGGAGAATCAACTGGAGGCTTCATTCCCCAGGAAGATTAT